CAGGACATGTATTTTCAGCCTCTTGGACAGAGTCATTTGCATAAACAACTTGTTGATTAGTGAATCTCAAACATATTTGACATATTTGAAGTCCCATCATTTCCTCCACAAACAACAAAATCTTCTGTTTTCTTCTGCGTAAAAACTGTTCACTCTGTAGTTTAGATCTGAACAAACTTGTTCTGAAATGTGCTTCTTGTTTTAGTTTGTCTCTTCAGATTTCAGTCTTTATGTCGATTTGTCTGGACATGTTTAAAATGTGAAGTTTAAACCTTAACGTGGTGGAAGAGTTTGTGTCCAAATGATCCTGGGAGCTGCAGTGTTGTTGGGGCTTTATGTCTCTGGTCACCCAAGACAAAAGGTCAGACTAAGAACGGTTCAGAAGTTCCTTTATGATGAGCACAACAACAAGGCCAGTGCCGTCGTCTGGGTTGGTGTCACTGGGCCCCACCCTGGAGCCAGGTCTGGGGTGGGAGCTCCACAGGTAGTGTCTGGTGGCTGAGCCTCCCCCATGGGGCCCTGCTGGGCTCAGCTTGAAGGAGCGGCGTGGGGCCCTCCTCCTGTGGATCCACCACCTACAGGAGGATCCACGTGGGGCTGGTGCAGAGATCTGGGGGCAGTTGAAGGTGGGGGCCTTGACGACCAGATCTCTGGACATGGACACTGGCTCTGGGGACATGGGATGTGACGTCTCTGGGGGAAGGACCAGGAGCTTGTGCAGGAGCTTGAGTGTTTGTGACTCGATATAGTCGGCCTCACCTCCACACACAGTTTGGGCTCAGAGGAGCTGGACTCTCATGTCTCTGGAGTTGGTTGTAGGGAGCAGTGTTGGGCTGGTGTGGGCTCATCGCCCCACAGCTCAGCCCCGTGTGTTGGAGTTCACCCTGGTGAACGTTGTGTCCTTCGTGTCAGGGACAAGTCTCTCACTGTGGTGTGGCCTACGGGTACTCGAGTACCCGGCCTTGTGCGAGTCCCTGGGAGGGGGACATGACAGTCACCAACCGGGGACTCTGCTGTTCTACTGGGAACTTCAGCAGAACAAAATGGAACAGAATCTGTTGTTAAAAAGTTCTGTACTAAACAAAACTGGAGATGTGTTTTGTTTCATTCACACTTGTTTGAGAAACTCTTTATTATTAGTCTGTTACTGCAGCGTTTCCCCAAATCCCACAGCCGTCTTATATAATGTGTACTGTGTGTATTCTCAGGTGTGTACTGTGTGTATTCTCAGGTGTGTACTGTGTGTATTCTCAAGTGTGTACTGTGTGTATTCTCAGACAGTGTATTGTGTGTATTCTCAGGTGTGTACTGTGTGTATTCTCAGACAGTGTACTGTGTGTATTCTCAGGTGTGTATTGTGTGTATTCTCAGGTGTGTATTGTGTGTATTCTCAGGTGTGTACTGTGTGTATTCTCAGACAGTGTACTGTGTGTATTCTCAGTGTGTGTGTATTCTCAGACAGTTGTGTGTACTGTGTGTACTGTGTGTATTCTCAGGTGTGTACTGTGTGTATTCTCGTGTACTGTGTGTACTGTGTGTATTCTCAGGTGTGTACTGTGTGTATTCTCAGGTGTGTACTGTGTGTATTCTCAGGTGTGTACTGTGTGTGTATTCAGTGTGTACTGTGTGTATTCTACTGTGTGTATTCTCAGGTGTGTACTGTGTGTATTCTCAGGTGTGTACTGTGTGTATTCTCAGGTGTGTACTGTGTGTATTCTCAGGTGTGTACTGTGTGTATTCTCAGGTGTGTATTCTCTGTGTGTGTACTGTGTGTATTCTCAGGTGTGTACTGTGTGTATTCTCAGGTGTGTACTGTGTGTATTCTCTCAGGTGTGTACTGTGTGTATTTCTCAGGTGTGTACTGTGTGTATTCTCAGGTGTGTACTGTGTGTATTCTCAGGTGTGTACTGTGTGTATTCTCAGACAGTGTATTGTGTGTATTCTCAGGTGTGTATTGTGTGTATTCTCAGGTGTGTACTGTGTGTATTCTCAGGTGTGTACTGTGTGTATTCTCAGGTGTGTACTGTGTGTATTCTCAGACAGTGTACTGTGTGTTATTCTCAAGGTGTGTACTGGTGTGTATTCTCAGGTGTGTACTGTGTGTATTCTCAGGTGTGTACTGTGTGTATTCTCAGTGTGTACTGTGTGTATTCTCAGGTGTGTACTGTGTGTATTCTCAGTGTGTGTGTATTCTCAGACGGTGTACTGTGTGTATTCTCAGGTGTGTACTGTGTGTATTCTCAGACGGTGTACTGTGTGTATTCTCAGGTGTGTACTGTGTGTATTCTCAGGTGTGTACTGTGTGTATTCTCAGGTGTGTATTGTGTGTATTCTCAGGTATGTACTGTGTGTATTCTCAGGTGTGTATTGTGTGTATTCTCAGGTGTGTACTTTGTGTATTCTCAGACAGTGTACTGTGTGTATTCTCAGGTGTGTACTGTGTGTATTCTCAGACGGTGTGTACTGTGTGTATTCTCAGGTGTGTACTGTGTGTATTCTCAGGTGTGTACTGTGTGTATTCTCAGGTGTGTACTGTGTGTATTCTCAGGTGTGTACTGTGTGTATTCTCAGGTGTGTACTGTGTGTATTCTCAGACAGTGTACTGTGTGTATTCTCAGGTGTGTACTGTGTGTATTCTCAGTGTACTGTGTGTATCTCAGGTGTGTACTGTGTGTATTCTCAGGTGTGTACTGTGTGTATTCTCAGGTGTGTATTGTGTGTATTCTCAGGTGTGTATTGTGTGTATTCTCAGGTGTGTACTTTGTGTATTCTCAGACAGTGTACTGTGTGTATTCTCAGGTGTGTACTGTGTGTATTCTCAGACGGTGTACTGTGTGTATTCTCAGGTGTGTACTGTGTGTATTCTCAGGTGTGTACTGTGTGTATTCTCAGGTGTGTACTGTGTGTACTGTGTGTATTCTCAGGTGTGTACTGTGTGTATTCTACTGTGTGTATTCTCAGGTGTGTACTGTGTGTATTCTCAGACAGTGTATTGTGTGTATTCTCAGGTGTGTACTGTGTGTATTCTCAGACAGTGTACTGTGTGTATTCTCAGGTGTGTACTGTGTGTATTCTCAGGTGTGTACTGTGTGTATTCTCAGGTGTGTACTGTGTGTATTCTCAGGTGTGTATTGTGTGTATTCTCAGGTGTGTACTGTGTGTATTCTCAGGTGTGTACTGTGTGTATTCTCAGGTGTGTACTGTGTGTATTCTCAGGTGTGTACTGTGTGTATTCTCAGGTGTGTACTGTGTGTATTCTCAGGTGTGTATTCTGTGTGTGTATTCTCAGGTGTGTACTGTGTGTATTCTCAGACGTGTGTATATTGTGTGTATTCTCAGGTGTGTACTGTGTGTATTCTCAGTATTCTCAGGTGGTGTACTGTGTGTATTCTCAGGTGTGTACTTGTGTGTATTCTCAGGTGTGTACTGTGTGTATTCTCAGGTGTGTACTGTGTGTATTCTCAGGTGTGTACTGTGTGTATTCTCAGTGTGTACTGTGTGTATTCTCAGGTGTGTACTGTGTGTATTCTCAGGTGTGTACTGTGTGTATTCTCAGGTGTGTACTGTGTGTATTCTCAGGTGTGTACTGTGTGTATTCTCAGGTGTGTACTGTGTGTATTCTCAGGTGTGTATTGTGTGTATTCTCAGGTGTGTACTGTGTGTATTCTCAGGTGTGTACTGTGTGTATTTTCAGACGGTGTACTGTGTGTATTCTCAGGTGTGTACTGTGTGTATTCTCAGGTGTGTACTGTGTGTATTCTCAGGTGTGTACTGTGTGTATTCTCAGGTGTGTACTGTGTGTGTATTCTCAGGTGTGACTGTGTGTATTACTGTGTGTATTCTCAGGTGTGTACTGTGTGTACGGTGTAACTGTGTGTATTCTCAGGTGTGTACTGTGTGTATTCTCAGGTGTGTAGGTGTGTACTGTGTGTATTCTCAGAGGTCTGTCGTGTGTACTGTGTGTATTCTCAGGTGTGTACTGTGTGTATTCTCAGGTGTCTGGTGTGTACTGTGTGTATTCTCAGGTGTGTACTGTGTGTAGGTGTGTACTGTGTGTATTCTCAGGTGTGTACTGTGTGTATTCTCAGGTGTGTACTGTGTGTATTCTCAGGTGTGTACTGTGTGTATTCTCAGGTGTGTACTGTGTGTATTCTCAGGTGTGTACTGTGTGTATTTCAGACGTGTGTACTGTGTGTATTCTCAGGTGTGTACTGTGTGTATTCTCAGGTGTGTACTGTGTGTATTCTCACGGGTGTGTACTGTGTGTATTCTCAGGTGTGTACTGTGTGTATTCTCAGGTGTGTACTGTGTGTATTCTCAGGTGTGTACTGTGTGTATTCTCTGTACGTGTATTCTGGTGTGTACTGTGTGTATTCTCAGGTGTGTACTGTGTGTATTCTCAGGTGTGTACTGTGTGTATTCTAGGTGTGTACTGTGTGTGTATTCTCAGGTGTGTACTGTGTGTATTCTCAGGTGTGTACTGTGTGTATTCTCAGGTGTGTACTGTGTGTATTCTCAGGTGTGTACTGTGTGTATTCTCAGGTGTGTACTGTGTGTATTCTCAGGTGTGTACTGTTGTGTATTCTCAGGTGTGTACTGTGTGTATTCTCAGGTGTGTACTGTGTGTATCTCAGTGTGTGTACGTGTGTACTGTACTGTGTGTATTCTCAGACGGTGTATTGTGTGTATTCTCAGGTGTGTACTGTGTGTATTCTCAGGTGTGTACTGTGTGTATTCTCAGGTGTGTACTGTGTGTATTCTCAGACGGTGTACTGTGTGTATTCTCAGGTGTGTACTGTGTGTATTCTCAGGTGTGTGTACTGTGTGTATTCTCAGACGGTGTACTGTGTGTATTCTCAGACAGTGTACTGTGTGTATTCTCAGGTGTGTACTGTGTGTATTCTCAGGTGTGTACTGTGTGTATTCTCAGACGGTGTACTGTGTGTATTCTCAGGTGTGTACTGTGTGTATTCTCAGGTGTGTACTGTGTGTATTTTCAG